GGAAGTAAACATGGTTAAAAAAAACAATTTATTTGATATAACGCGGGTGTATAAAATGGATAAGCATTGCAAGCTGTCTATATACTACTTCAAATTGAAAGATCGATAACCAATTGGCTTGCTCGAGAGAGAATGAATGATTGAGCGATCGATGGTTCAGTGTCAAAATAGATCGATTGCTTGGTAGCTAGTCTGTTAGCTAGTTGACTAGAAAGATAGATATATTCATAGATATGTACATATGTATATATACACATCTCTGAACTCACATATATATGTGTTTGTGTGTGTGTGTGTGTGTGTGTGCGTGCGTACGTCTGTGTATAGAGAGAAAGATTTATCGGCTTGCCTATTTGTCGATCTGAATAAAGTCTTTGTAGCAGTGGTTCGCGAGCAAGTCTGACAAGTTATTGATCGTGGGTTTGATCCTTACAAATGTAATCCATGAAAATATGGCTTAGCACTAGAAAGTTTTGATCTATTCACAACTGTCCTCTCTTGCTTCTGCATGTTCGTACTCTTGAAAAATCTGCAATATTGGCCAATACATCCATCCATACACAGGGCAGAGCTATCGTACGAATAATGGGCAAGGGAAAGAAATATACAGGTTAAAGAAAAAGAAAAAAAGTATGGGTAAAGATAGAGAAAGAATTAATTGAGTGTTGAGAGAGAAAGACACAGAGAGAGGGAGAGAGAGGGGGGGAAGAAAATGGAAAGTAGGAGAAGAGAAAGTTTGAATAAATTCTGCCCAAGAAAACGAAAAGAAAAAAGTAGGCGTGGCTAGTCTAGAATTGGTAGAAGTGGAAGAGGAAGGCGTAATCAAGACATTCCATCGAGAGACGACGCTAGCAGAAGCCGGAGGAGAGGCTGTGATAGCAGCAGCAGCAGTTGTAGTAGACATCCTATATTACCTGCAAAATGTGCAAATAAATGTCTGCTATAGTCGCAGTAGAATTAGTAGCTGATGTGGCAGTGAAAATGTCTTAGCAGCAGCAAAAGTAGGTCCATTAATAGTAGTAGTAATAGTCATTGAAATCTGCGTAGTACACACATACACACACGTAGGCTCGTTAAGATGTTAACTTAGATTTGATATTTTAGAAGGATCACAATGAATGGATCGATAACTGATAGCTTGAGACAAAAAAGGGGTAAGCAAAAAATATAAAATATGTTAATCCATTGATTATCAGGATGTTTAACCGGTGAGCCGCAGACAATAAATAGGTCGATATCAATTCCACAATGGTATCGTTGCTTTTAGAAACATACAAATAGATTGTTTGAAATGCAGTGCTTTCGACTTAAAACAAGAACTGAGAGTTGTATATTTTTTAACTTCAAGACACAAGTTATTACGAGATGAGCAATGCCAATTCGATTTAACTAGTGCACAAAAGATGTGACACCATTGGAAATCGTGGATTTTATAAATACATAAAAATTTATTAATATGGTGGATAATTTGTATTCAAAACCCCATGAAATCATTATATTCAGAAATCGACTTCGATTGTTATTGTTGAAAAAAGAAAGAATATTAGATGTCTTTGCTAGTTGAGCCGACTCTAGAAGCGGTGGTAGTAGCTGAAGTAATGTGAATGGAAGAGTTTGCTTCTCTGAAAGGGTGGTAGAGTGAAATCATTAGAAACAGCAGTCTTTTCCAAGAGTCTCAAGCATAACACATTGATGTGTATTATATGAAATAAAAGTACGTATATTTATAAGTACACATACCTACCTTGCACACACACACAAACGCAGACGCAGACGCACACACACACACGCACGCACACACACACACGCACGCACACACACACGTATATGTGTATCTGTGACAAAAATTAATTTCAAAGTTGAAAATCTCAGCGTCTCCCTTATCATGTGGGCATATATAGCTAGATGAACGTAAGCATCACTTTCGTCCGATAGTCTAAAGGAGGAAACGCGTCGCACGAAAACTTTTTTCCACTTTGTCATGAAGTTTTTAATATTTCTCTCTCTGTTTCCCCTCTCTTTTATATATATATATATATATATATATATATATATATATGTGTGTGTGTGTGTGTGTGTGTGTGTGTGTGTGTGTGTGTGTGTTAAAAAGAAGAGAAGAGAGGTGCCGCAAACGTTTTTGGTTGTAATGTGGATTTTTTTAGAAAAAAATATTATGCTTTATTTTCCATAATTTTACTACACGGGTTTCTGGTCTCGTGACCGTCTTCAGGTAAAAGGTGGAAATTTCCACCTCTCTTCTCTTCTTTTTAATATACATACTTTTCTCTCGTTGGAAGCACTACAACCTCTTTCTTTTATATATATGTATATATATATATACACGCACGCACGCACTGGACTCTCCTGTTGTTTCCATCACATGAATGTCAAGCAGCTCAGTTCTTAGAACCAGCAGCCAGACTATCTGCACATATTATTTGATTATAGGGTGAAGGCTTTGTGAAGAATCAACCACACTTTTTGGAAGAGCCGAATACAGAGAGCCGAATACAGAGAGCTGGTGCACTACGTGACACAAAGTCCCCAAACGACCCTTCACAGGTTTTGAATTTAGAGCTGTCCATTCTCGACCAAGGCTATAGGACTAAATCTGTTCTGCTATTTACCCATATATATATATATATATATATATATATATATATATATATATATATATATATATATATAGGCAGACAGCGGGGAGAGAGAAAATGAGAAGGAGAGAAGTAGAAAGAAGGATATAGAAGTCAACACTGCATGCTGTCAGTTTTACAACACAACGCGATCTTCAGACCATTGTATAATTATATTATAATTATAATGTTTATTATACACGGTAATTATGGGGAAAATGTTCATTATTGCAAACAGGGCGTTAATAGATAGACAGACATAGTGGACAAAAAAAAAATCAAAGCTAAATGTTGACTGTCACTTTCACACTGCAATGAGATCTTCAAATCATTCCCATTTCTGAAGATCCCTTGAAGCGTGAAACTGAGGATCTACTATATATATATATATATATATATATATATATATATATATATATATATCAGAAAAAAATATATATATATAATATATATATATATATATATGTATTGTATATATATACTTGTCAGCTGTCAATATACCACATAACACCCTTGAGTGCTTAGCCTTGGAGTGGGTAGAATGGAGATCAACGTATTTTTAGTGGACTTAGCAGTTTTCAATCTGCTTGTCTGAATCATCTTCAAGAAGCTTGAGCAAGATCTAAAAGGTCAGCCAATCTAACAGTGATCTCATCTCATAATCCTCACTCTTGCTCCATATGTAGCCTCCTTTGGAAATCACTAGTGGGTTTTAAATGCCACTTAAGTTTATCGCACAAAATTTCATAACTGAATTAACTAAGCTGTTAGATCCTCATACGTCGAAGCCGACGGGAGAGTCAGTTATATATATATATATATATATATATATATATATATATATATATATATATATATATATATATATATATATGTAGGAGGCACGGTGGAATAATGGATACCGGCTCGGACTGAGGAATCCGAGTTCGAATTCAATTGAATCCTTTACATTCACTTACATGTTAATACTGTTGGGAAAGGTATAGATCCTCTTCTTCTCCCCCAAGCTATGGGTAAATAGCAGGACAGACTGGGCTCTATAGCCTTGGATGGCAACTGGTCTAGGAGAAGGACAACTCTGAATTCCAAACCTGTGGAGGGTCATTGGGGACCTTGTTGCACACAGTGCACCAGGTCCCCCTGTATTTTGGCTCTTCAAAAAATGTGGTTGGTTCTGTACAAAACCATCACTACACATAATCAAATCATATTTGCAGGTTGTCTGGATGTTGGTTTCTAGGAACTGAGTTGGCCTGACCCTCATAAATCATAATAGGGTCCCCGGTAGGCGCGGATCAACAGCCCAAGTCGATCAACGACAGGAGAGTCCACGATATATATATATATATATATATATATATATATATATATATATATATATAAAAGTGGCCACTGAAGTCAACACCCATCGGACAGTGTGCTTAATGTTTATATGTAATCGCCAGGCCATATTCATATCCACTATGTTTTAGCTAGACGATTATATATATAATATTATATATATATGAGGAAAACAAAAACCGTTGGTGAAACCAACGGACTGCTTGCCAAAAACCTAAGCTCTTATCCAGATACAGTCTCGAATAAAGTCGACAACACTGAAAAGAAAAGAGAAAAGAGGCCAGAAATTAAAGTTAGCTACTCAAAGCCTAGACCGATTAAAAAACGCTTACCAACGTTAAATTGTATGAAAGGGACGACAGTTCTAATCGTGACTTTAATCGTTTGACGCAACGACAACTTGAACGGAAACACACGCACACACACACACACACACACACACACACGCACACACACGCACACATATATGAAGAAATATAGTCTTAAGGTGTGCTTTATTTATGGGATAAAGTGCTCAATATCAGAGATAGAGCGTGTGTAAATATAAAAGTGAACATTGAAGTCAACATTTACAGGCGACAGTCTGTTTCATGCTAGACGCAGTCGTCAGGCCACGAGTGGTCTGACGATTGCCCTATCTTATATATTGCGTCTAGCATGAAACAGACTGTAGTCTCTAAGTGTTGACTTCAATGTTCCCTTTTATATATATATATATATATATATATATATGTGTGTGTGTGTGTGTGTGTGTATGTATGTGTGTGTGTGTACGGGTCAATGATGTGTATAGAAATAATCAGGCAAAAAACAGAGCCTGACGATAATTTTATTGACTTTTCCACATTACGAATAAGCCTTCTCAGATAAGTAGGAAATTCTTCCAGAACTTGTCCAAAGTTAATTTTCGGATCTTAATTTACTTAAGATTAAAAATACAACATATAAATACTGGAATTTGTGTCTCTTGATAGTGTTCAAAAGCGTCTACGCGGCCTTGTGGGTGATGAATTACTTCCCTCCTGCATTGCTTTTCCAAGATGAGAAACGGCGCGAAACTCTTGCTTCTCTATCGCTATTTCCAAGGCATGTGTTCTGACGCGTCACTTTTCTTGGTCCCACGGGACCTGCTCTTTGCTACTGGGATCCATCATACCACGTACAGAAGGATGCATCACTCTCAATCCTTTCATATTTAATTAGTAAAAACGTTCTACTCGGACAGCTTCTTCCCAAGGACATGTGTAACAGACACCTGCGGGGTGTTTTCCCAGTGGCTACAATTTTGACTTTTTCAAGTCTAGGCTTAACCGTTATCTGTCTTGCATAACCCATGGACTGAGCTTCTTGCCTTCACTTACAATCATGCAGAACCCTACAGTGACCTTCAACCGTGAGTGTTCTTTGGGTCTTGTAGTGGGTGAACATTAGTTCATATATATATATATATATATATATATATATATATATATATATATAGATAGATAGATAACTAGACTCGTTTCGAAAAACCCTCGAATTTTTGATTTTATATATATATATATATATATATATATATATATATATATATATATATATAGCGGTCGGGTTTCGTTCCCGACTTGAAGGAATCGCAAGTCTAGCCACATTGATGAGCTGTGATCCAGTGAAACAGACAGTTTGCTTGTGGATGACTATATACGCCCCCCTCTCGCAGGTTTTTTTTTATGGAAGAAAGAGAATTTATCGGTTTCTGCTAATAACGCTAAGCGCTATACTGTCTGGTAGACAGTTGTTCTTATATCATGTACATAATGCGTTAAAAATACTCCACCGCGCGCGCTGATGGCCTATGGGTGAGAGTCTCCGACTTATGTCCAATCGGTTGGGTTTGGATCCCGGCTTGAAACAATTGCATGTCTAGCCACACTGATGAGCTGCGAAACAGTTT